TTACCGTGTATACTTACCATGTATACTCACCGTCTCTCTCATGTCATCTTCTTCCTACGATGCTTCATCTACTTCTCGAACGCAAAGATATTTTTATTATATGTTTTATGACAGTATTAATAATAATAATAATAATAATAATAATAATTCAACTTATTTCCATTATTTTTGTTCTAATGAATTAAATAATTTAAAGAGCGCGATACCGCCGTCGCACGCGGTGAGGCTGTCGCACGCGATAACGCTGGCGCATCGCGTTATACGATACAGCGCGAAGGATGGATGGAAGGAAGCGAAGAATTGAGAGATGTGTTATTTAAATTTATACATTTATTTATTTGTCATGTTGTGCATGATATACAATATCACCTAAAGCGTACATTATTAATTCGCATTCAATATTAGAATTTCTATCATAAATCTTATGCAAAGCGTTTACAGCTTCAAATTTATTCACAATACAATTTTGACGTAAATAAGTCACGAAATATTTAATCTTATCACTTACACTGTTCGTATATTGACACAAATTGAAATACGCATGATCAACACATTGTTCGAGTTCGAGCATGAATAGTACAGTCGACGGTTTCATATACATACACTTGTCACATAAAGATAATTTCACAGTGTTCACATCACGTATTTTGACAAGTTCAATCACAAGATTTTGAATCATAAACGATGATGATGGTGTAGTCGATTGCACCAATCTTTCGATATTCGCCCGTTTTTCGACGAATGTTGTCCACGTGGCGTGCGGCAGGATGATGTGGTTGCCTCGGGTGTCACTAATCGCAATTTCCACGTGAGACATCATTCCCACGGCGATCCCAATCTCCAGAAATTTGTACGCTGTCGGAGTCAGCGCAAACGTTCTACCCATGATGTTACGTACGCTGCAATAAAAAATAAATAATATAAAATATTTTCATAGATATATAATCTTTTTCCATAGATATATGTGAAATACTTACAGTTCATGCTGAACGTGAGAATCCATGTTGATGATGATGTCGAAATCGTTTGAGTAACTGATGCAGTAACGTTGCACGAACCGCTTTTAAACTGTATCCCCCCTCCAGCGTTTTTAAAAATGCAGCGTTTGCAGATATGCAGCTGCAACAATTTTGCAAAAGACACGTACGGTGAAGAAATCATCAGTGTAATTCAATAATTTAAAAATGCAACGTTTGCAAATATGCAGTTGCTAAGAAAGAATTTTGCACAATACAGATTTTTAGACACGTACGGTGATGAAATCATTAGTGTAATTCGATATTTAAAAATGCAACGTTCGCAAGTTCTGTTTTATTTAAGATTTTTTGCAAAAGACATCCGGTGATGAGAGCAGTAATGTAATTTGATACAAATGCAACGTTGCCAAATTGCACATTTAATAGTTGAGAGATGCGACGTTGCCAAATAGATTGATATAAAAATTTAAGATTTAGACGCATGGCGTCATTAGTCAATCAAGCGACATGGAGCGAGATTTGATAGAGCAAGCTACCCTGCTTAGTACCAGAGAAGAGTACATCGCGTGGGAACAGCGATGCGACGAGTTCATCGAATCTTTGGAAGAACAGAGTCGGATAAAACGCCCGCGATTATCGATCGGTAATAGACAATCAGTGATCGCATGTATCGCGCGGCTTGAGAGTTTGAAAGATTCAGTGCGTAGTCGATTCGTGCATGTAGGCGCCGGACATGGACTCCGATGGCGCGAGATCGAAACGGCGTTCGAAAGCCGTATTCTAACGGGCGCGGTGATAAACTCTAATCACATCGACCCTCGTCGATTCCTCGAAGACGCGAGTGAAATTGTGCTTGAGCCATGCAGTGTGTTTTACAGCGATATGACTCTATAAAGATAAATACTGTATTTAATGGTGAATTCGTAGCTGGCGACAAACGCGCGAACAAGAGCACCGCAACCAGGAACTATGAAATATATCGATGCACCGATCAGAGCGAGTGGTACGTGTCACGCGTCATCGAGCCAATCCTTGGCATCGCTCAAAGAGTTTCAAGAACGCGATAGTGGATGGGCGTTATCGCGTATACTAAATTTAACGGTGAACGCGAATAAACTAAATCCTCTGCGCGCGGGATGTCACATCAAACTCCCAGAGGAAATTATATCAAAGAGAGCGGTGATCAACGTGCAATCCAAAGGCAATGCTTGTTTTGCATGGTCAGTAATCGCCGCTCTTCATCCCGCTGAAAGTCATACATATCGAACATCATCATATCCACACTATTCATCGGTACTAAATCTCACGGGTATTGAATTCCCGATGACGTTGAGTCAAATTAAAAAATTTGAAAATCTTAACGACATTTCCGTCAACGTCTACGCCATTGAGGATGGAATCGTACCGATACGACTCGCTGTCCGAAAGAGGAGCAAACACGTAAACCTGTATACGCGGAGGATTACGTCGAGGGGCATTTCGCGCTGATTAAAGACCTGTCACGCCTTGTGAGATCGCAAGTCACCAGATCCAAGAATAAGAAATACTTCTGCGATAGGTATGTATAATAATAATAACAATAACAACAATAACAACAATAACAACAATAGTAACAATAACAACAATGGTAACTGTGGTATTCTACGGTAGGAGGTCGCACAATCGCTGTGGGATCGGAGGATCTCTGAGGTCCACAAATAATAATCGAACCGATTATATAATAAAAGGCTCTTTATTCAACTCTTACACTAGGTATAGAAATATTTGGGCGTGATGCGCTAGGTTTACTTTAGTGTCCGTGAAAAGACTTCGAGGTGCCTTTCGGCGCCCGTCTATGGAGGATTTTTGTGGGGTGCCTTTCGGCACCCGCAGGAGGGAACTACTCTTCGGATGAGTCTGAACCGAAGAGTTCCCTAAGTTGCAGGCGCTTGGCCTTGCTGGCCTTGCGTAGGCGCCCTGGTGTTCGAGGGCGCTTCCTCGGCGTCTTAGGCAAAGGGCTGATCAGCTCGGGCGGCGGAGATGGCCGCGACGGAGATCCTAATGGCCGGCCGACCTGGCTTGCCACCGATGTGGATGTCAAAGGCGGCTGTAGAGGCTGTTCGTCGGTCTGCGTGGCCGTTGACCTTGTGGCCGCTCGCCTCCTCCGAGGATCCCGTGGAGCTTCCTCCGGACTGCACTCCAGCTGCGTCAGGTGCCAAGGGAAAAAAGCGATGCTCGCGTCCAGTGGTTTCTCTGCCAAGGTGACGTCCGGGGGCCGTTCTGGTTGTCGTCGCTGCGGCTGGTATGTGACACCCTTCCTCGCGGTCGGGACGCCCGGAGGACCTGGTGGGCCCCGTTTTTGTCGTCGCGGCAGGCTGGCGGTTTCTTGTCCCTGTGGTTGGTGATGGCAATAGGGGGCTCCCGAGGAAGCTTACCCTATTGGTGCAGAGGCTCGCTTTGAAAGTCAGAGGCCTTGCAGTAGGCTCGCCCTGAGAGACTCAGAGGCCTGCGAGTAGGCTCGCTCTGAGCGTCAGAGGCCTGCGTAACCACAGGCACACTCTGGAGAATACGTTGGATCTACTCAACACTAGCTAGAGGCCCAGAGAGCTCCTCTCCAAGTGCAGGAAGATCTGCTGGGTGGTCTCGCTGCTTCGTATATATCCCCATGCGGAATACTCTTGCACACGGGCGAACGCTCGACCGCGTGGCCCTCACGCGGAGGCGGAACTCCCGGGCGGTATAGGCGCCAGGCGCTCGGCTAGCGCCGGCGCTCGCGCCTCAGAGGCGGCGCGCTTGCGTCTCGCTTGCTGGTATTGTGGCGGAGGGGCCGCCACAGTAACAATAACAACAATGGTAACAATAACAACAATGGTAACAATAACAACAATGGTAACAATAATAACAATTTTTTTTTCTTTTTTTTCAGATGTCTCCACTATTTTAGCTCGAGCGCTAAATTTTAGCTCCACAGCGTCGACTGCGGAAAACTCAACGATTGTGCAATAAGACTACCGAGCGAGGACAAGTGGCTCGAGTTTAAGAAACATTGCAGAAAGGAGCGTGTCCCGTTCGTGGTCTATGCAGACTTGGAGTGCGCACTGGAAAAGATGGATAAAGAACCAGCATCATCAACGTACACGTACCAACATCACAACGTCTTCAGTATCGGGTATTACGTGTACTGTTCTTATGACGATTCACTATCAGGCTATCGTTTTCGCCGCGATAATAACTGCATATCGTGGTTCGCGGATGAATTGAAAAATTTAGCACATAGTGT